AATATAAAAATTTATTTTATATATAGATTCTGGATGTATTTACAGATATTGGGGAGGGGAAAAATCAAAAGACAGTATTAACAGATGGCAACAGGGATCCTTGTTCTGTCAAGTACTGATTCAACCAAAACTAAGTTTATCAAGCAGGAATCATCTGTCCTGAATTATGCAACAGGCTGCCAAGACAACAAATATTTCCTCAGGGGAAGATGTCAGTTGCAATGGAGAAAAAAATGAAACAAAACCCAAAATTATTTTAAGTGAGTACCATCCAGTTCTACAGGTTGGAAATTAAAAAAGAATATGCAGCAGTTTACAGCTAGGCTGGTTTATTTGTTTCCTAGTTTTTATTAAAAATCGACCCTATCTAGCATGAATATAATCTTAAGCCCTTTTACAGAGTTAGGCCAATACTCAATTTAGCAGAGCAGGGAGGAGGGGAGGGGATGACTTACACATCAACAAAAGCAATTCTACAACCAACATGTACAGAGCCTGTGCTTATAGATCCCACTGAGATGGGATTACGAATTAGACAAATTAAGTAAACTGATCCCCTTCAGACAAGGCAAATATTAAGATAAAAGAAGCCATCTGTGCAGTTGGAGAACTCAAGTTTATCTGCAGCAACAGGTAGGAGAAGGCAGAATGTGTATTTACAAGTCCCATTTGGGCAGCACCACAGGTTTACAAACACTAAGATGTTATCTACCCTAAAAAAAATGTTGCCATCTAAAAAACAAACAAGATAAGGAGGTTGAGCACACAAGAAGCAATCCAAGCTGGAGTGCCACAGGCAGCTGCAGCAAGGACAGCTTTTGCTCTCCTGTCCCAAAGAACAGGCAGCTTTCTGCCAGCTCAGGGAGCTAAACTGGCTTGCAGGAGGGTCTGAGAGCACAAATACATCTCCATCTTGCCAGGCCAGCAAGCTGTTCAGCTAAGAGCACTGCACTGACCCCACAGCCACAAGCTGCCCCTTTGCAGCTGCTGAACTGTCCCCTGGTGTGTTCCTGCCCTTCTCCTGGTGCTGTTGGACCATGCTCTGAGCCATCCCAAGGTGCCAGAGTAGCTGCTGTGCCACCATCGTGCTTCACACATGTGGCTTCAATAATTTCTAATCCTGCTAGCACTAGAAAAATTGGAGGGGAAAAAAAAACCAAACCAAACAGAACACCCTGAACAGAAACATTATTCAAAGCTGTCAATATTCCCCAGCCCAGCTGCCAATGAATCAAATTTATGAGAAGACAGTAAACGCAGCATTAGCAGGGAAAGCAGTCACATGGAATTTTCATAGGTTGATTTAGGTTTTGGGGGGGTTTTGCTTGTTTTTTTTGTTTGTTTGTGGGTTTTTTTTTTAACCTAGCTACATAATAAAACCCTAAGCCCAGTGTTACAACCACTGCTTTGAGAAAAATCACTGGCCACTGGAGAGACAGGGGCTTATCTAGGACCCAGCCAATTGCATCAAGGGGACAGAAACATGGACAGGGTGAACACCAACTGCTACAGCCTGTGATGTGATGTTCAAGGGCCCTACTACAAAAACACATGGGGGTTGTAGCAAGTTCACTGTTTAGCCAGAGCTACACTAAACTCCAGTGCTAAAACCTGCAGTGGACAGCAACAATTAAAGTGTAGGGTGAGACTTACTATACCCCTGATATTCATACTTCAAAATTTTTGGTCCAATTCCTTCCACTTTTGATTAGTTGCCTAATCCTTCTGTTCCCATCCCCCTCCCACCCTCCTGGGTTAAGTTACAGTTAGCAACTCACCCAGCTGTTCTTTTATTCTAGATGCAGGCTTATCTGGCAGCATCACCTACTGCCAAATCATGTTGCCACAGTTCAGAATCCATGTAGTGTTCTAGTGATAAACACCATCTCACCCTCTCTATTCCACTCTCCCCAAAAGACACCACAGCAATATCCAATATTGCAAAGCTGCAGATAGAAGAGATTTAAGTGAAGAAGAGCAGTGTCCAGCTCCTCTGTCTTGAAGGCTGGAGAAGAGAGAACCTGCAGAGCTATTGCTAAGCCTCGGGTAAGTATCACTGCTGTGTGAGCAAAGGCCTCAGCAGGCAGCACAAGCAGCAAGGACACATGTTGTGGTCCCTGTGCTAAAGCAGCAAAACCACCTGGCCCCTGTGGGTGACTCCTGAAACCCACTCTGTGACTGCACCCACTGCCAAACACCCCAGCTTTATATTACTTTACAATCCAACGCCTGCTGATAAGAGGAGCTGGATACAAAACTCGTGTGGCTTCTAGTAAAGCTCCAAGACAACTTCCTTATAGCTAACAATCTGCACAGAGTGCTAAAAAAGGGAGAACAGATACCCCTTGCGGAGCTTAAACATTACTGACCATGTTCACTGTCAACAGGCCAAACCTCTTATTTTAGAGCAGATCAAAACGGTTCCTGTGACTCAAATCTCACACTTGATAAAGTATTGCACTTCCACTCACACTCAAATTTAGAGGGATACAGAGCTGGTTGTAGTGGGGGAAAATGGGATTTTGAAGATGGAAACAGCCAAAAGGCAGATGAAACTTGTGGTTTGTTGTTGGGTTTTTTTTAAACTACTCATTTTCCTAGATTAGGATATCTATTCAACACCAAATATTATCTCTCCTGCTGACAAAACACAGATAAGAGATTTAATTGTTTGACAACAGCCTTTAAGAAAGCTGTCTTCAGAGGCACAAACTCCTTAAATCACTGAAATTGTGATGATGTTGCTTACTAAGAATCAAGAAAACAAAAAGATAAAAAGATTTGTTAAATGCATAAACACTCTTCTCCCCACCTGTCTCCTCCAGGTTTTCCACTATCAGCTCCAGGAATGAGATTACTGACACTTCTGCAGACAAGGCTCAGGAAACACAAGATCAAGAAATACAAGGCAAATTTGCTCTTTCCTGATTTATTGCAAGACTTACTTTTTTTGCTTAGTACACTGACTTTCTCATGGAGTCTCCTTCACATTTCAGGAGGAGGGGAGGAAACCATCAGTGCCTTGCTAAGGCATCTAAACACCAGATAGGTGCACAAAATCAAAGTCTGTCATTGAAAAACTGGGTCTTGAAAGTGAATCTGTAAATCCTGTGGGATCTCAGCTTACAGTGTCTTAAATCAGCCAGCTGAACACCTATGCTGAAATACCTTGGGAAAATTCAGAGATAATTCAACGGATAAAGAAAGGAAATTGTGGAATTGAGGCAGTAAAACCCCAGAAGAAACAAGAAAGTCTTAGCTTAAAGAGAAGGGTGACATGTCACCTTTCCTGGAACAACATTTCAGTATCTGGAAAAACCCAACGACAAAAGGATGTCATCTCCAAACCTATCTATCTGCATTACAGTTACAAGAAGGGGGGCGGGGGGGAAAGGTGAGTCACAACTGGAAGGTAAACTTCACATCCTCTGAAAATCAACTGCAAATTCACTTCTCTCAAGAGAC